AACACCAACTCATTTAAATGCCTGCCTGCCATTCATTTCAACTCTGAAATACATCTGAGGATCCCCAGATTTTAAAAGGAGAGTCCCACTGAAGACCACCCTCAGAAATCTGGTCCTGAAAGCAGGACGTAAATATTTGAATCACTTAAACACTCACTTGTATTAGAGCTGCTACAGATAATTTTCAAAATAACATCTGGCTTTTCAAAAAATGTAGCTTACAAATACAAGAAACAGAATAGGCAGTCATATGGAACACATACTGTTATGGCACGTATGAGAAGAAGAAAAGTTTAAACACCCCTGTTTAATGAATAGTGGGTTAGAAGTCCTGCCAACAGACTCTTCATATTATTATTATTATTATTATTATTATTAACTATCATTAGTTATTAGCTCATACATGGCACACTAAAGGCAGAGACATACACCAGTTTACACATTGGTTATATTGTCTACGCTTGTGTTGTATGGTATTATATTTTGTGTTTTGTATTTATTTGGATGCTTTCTATCCAGATGAGCTTCCTTTCTGAATACTGGCCCAAAACATAATGGTTGGGTAGAATTTATTTGATCCTCGATTTCTACTGATTGATAAACAAGGCACTGTTCATCAAATCATCAAATGTCGCTGCTTCTCATCATGTGCTTGCTATATCCCAGTTTCTCCTCTCCATCTTTCGCAGAATCACAGAATGGCAGGGGTTGGAAGGGACCTCAGGAGATCATCCAGTCCAACCACCCTCCTAAGGAAGGTTCACCCAGAGCAGGTTGCACAGGACATCGTCCAGGTGGGCTTTGAATATCTCCAAAGGAGACTCCACATCCCCTGGGCAGCCTGTTCCAGTGCTCTGTCACCCTTAAAGAAGAAGTGTATATGCGCACTTCTGCTTTGGTTTCTTTTTATTTTGATTGCCCAGGTTTTAGGTTTAAGCTTTGTTCTCACTTGTGGTTTTAACCACGTTGGCGATAGCAACCAATGGTCCCAGAGGTCCAGGTCTAACAGATAACGCTGGGCCGATCCAACAATTTGCGGCTGCCGGAAGGGTTAGCGCGGCTCCCTCCCCAGGTGTGTATCCCTGCAGCCTCAGCCACGCCGGCTCTCGTGCTCGCCTGACCCGGTGGGGAGCTGATTCAGCTCACTGGGGGGACAGAAAGCAACAAAGAGCAAAGCGGATATTTTCTGACCGCTTTAGCTATCCGAAAGCATCTCGGGGAGGTGTCAGGTCAGGCCCAGGCAGAAGGAGAGGGGCAGGAGCAGGCGATTGCGCCTCAGAGGGGGCAGGAGAGAACGGCACTGTCCTTTTTGGCAGGAGTAAGCTGTGGGCAAGACTGGCTCGGTCAGCTCATCTAGCCTTGTCCTGAGTATAGCTCGTAGCTGTCAATAACAGAATTAATACCCAATACTGTTGGCTGCTACCGTTTTATGTTTCCTCAGGCAGAAAAGGCTGGGAAATTTTTGGGTTTGTTTCACTCCAGACAGATCGACACAATCACAGCCCGAAACAGTGAAGCCCCAGAGAATATGTTGTCCCACTTTGCTGATATAACCCAGCTAAGCAGGGGACACCCCAGCACCCACTCACAAGCTTTCTCATAATTTCTCATGTGCTTTTTGAGTTATCTGAGTCAAATGACGAGACCCTAAGCCAGCTCTGGGGACCCAACCTGACCTGGTCCAGCAGGTGGCTGACTCCCAAGGTCTGAAGGTCAGGATTTCAAACCCTTCCTGCTCCCTCAGCAGCTGCAAAGTCGGAATTAAATTGGAGGAAAACGGTCTTTGGTTATCAGACTTTAAAATCTGATAGTTCACAAACTGCCTGCAGTGAAATATTTTACTGCACTGGAAAACTGGTGTTTCCTAAAGTATTAGTCGTTACAACCATCATTAATCCTTTGGGTTAGCAGTGGGCTTTTTAAATTCAATTCCAGGGCAGTTCCTAGATTAAAGGCTTGGACAATTTTTGGCCACCAGCTTAAACACCTTGAAGTAAAGCTGCTTCGCTTTCTGGAGTTGTTCAGCCTTGTGTTACACCTTCAAACGGAGGGTCCCAAAAGACTTCTAATAGCAACAGAGCAAATATGCTTCGAGTGCAAACATTTTAGCCCTGCATTTTGAAGCTAAGCATTCTGGTCAGCAAATGTGACCTCTGCCTAGTGACTGCTTCTCATCCATCTCAAGCTGCCCTGCCTCTGTTAGCTCTCCACCTGGTTCTTGAATCATGGGCTGAAATCTGAATTTTAAGGGAAGAGAAAGCAAAATAAAGCGGCAATTAACTTACAACAGGAGGATATAGGTACGCTGATAGCCAGAATGATCCAGGCAATGTCCATCTTGCTGAGACAGATGGTTGCTCTGTGCTGGGGTTTGTCGCCCTCGGTGACATGGGAGATGTTTCCTTGCACCCCGGGTTTCCAGGTCCCGGCAGGAACCAGTCTGTTTAGGAAGTTCCCGGTGGCGGTAGAGCCAGCTGTGGAAATGGAGCTGGACAACCTCGTGGCAGGCGCTGCGGAGAGAGCGCTGCCCAGCAAGGTGGCGTTAGTCACCGTGCCATGCTGTGTTGGAGCAGGTCCCTTGGGGTCTCCCGCTGCTGGGGAGGAGACGCTGACGTCAAAACTGGTCTGAACCGAGTGACCCGAGGCTGCTGTTGCAGATCCAGGGCCAGCAAACAGAGGGACATTTGTACTGAGATTCAAGGTTACCCAAGAGTTGTTTTTGCTCAGCATATCCCATACGCCGTAGCGGGTGGGTTTAAAAGGCACCGACACTGCTTCAGGATCAGTTGATGGTCCAGCAGTTGTGGTGGCAAAATCTGCCTCCTGCACCACCAGCTTGGCCCTATCCCCTTGCTCTGCTTCCCTAAGGCTTCCCGAGGCGTTGCGGTGGGGAGAAGGCTCTGAGTGTGTAGTTCTTGCCAGCCCCGTGCCATTCGGATTGCTGGACGCTGCGGTCTGGGACTGAAATGGGTGGTCTGTGAAAGAGCTCCTCAGGGTAGGGAAGGGAGAGTGCAGGGTGGTCTTTAGGTAAGGCTCTGAGGACTCTGTGAAGTTGCCTTTGAAAACCTGGAATATTTTCCCCTTGGGGCGAGTCTGTCCCGAGTACAAAGCACTCTGGTTGTATAAATGATACATTTCCTTTTCACCGACGTGAGGGCTGCTCGCTTGCTTTTGCCCCATGGACGGGTCTTGCTCCGCCAGGCTGACGGGACGGGGAACGGCGTGAGCAGACGTGGGAAGGGGCTCTGCCATGTGGCGGTCTTTGTGGCGAGGTGTTGTTCCCATGGCTGTGATAGTGGTAGTGTCCATTGGGAAGCCCTGAGAGGAGGAGACAGTGGGAGACAGTACCTGAACAGAAAACACCAGCTCTTCTGTCAGTGCCAAGATCAGTAGAACACCTGGAGGAAAAAAACACAGAGAGAGGGTGAGACAGCAGGGAGGGACCAGCGGGCAGGGAATGGCATGGCTTGCTCATCTGGCAGGAAGGAATACCTTCCATGTTCTGCAGAAGGAGAGAAGAGCTAGCACCCAACTTTGTCGGTTTCTCTGGGAAAGTAGGAAGAGAAAGGAAAAGACGGAGGGGCTGCAGTGGTCCCATGGCCGTGGGAGAGGCGAGGTGGGAATGGGGAGGTTGCAGAGAATCTCCGCAGCAAAGGGAGAAAGGAGCTTGCGGTATGGACTCAGGACAGTGTTTTAAAGTGCCAGAGGCAGGTGATTTCCCTGTGGAAGCTACAAAGCATCCTACTCTTTAGGGGCAGAAACAAAAGACGTTTTCATTTTTGTTTTTGCCAGGAGGCCTCCAGATGAATGTCCACATTATTATGGGGAACCTTAGTCCGCTCATTCTTTTGGCTGAAAAATCCTAAATTTGGCTGCCTCCAGCCTTGGATGCCATTAAGCAATCTGGTTTTTTTAAGAGAACAGCTGCTTAGCCCTTACTGAAAATTAGGTCAAGAAGGGATGTCGGATGAGAGGGCTTCCTGGGTTATATATGCTGGGTTATATCCTTAGCAACTTTGGAAAATCTAGTCACTTATTTTAGAGTATAAGGTGTGGAAAATCTCCAAATGTTAATTATGAACAAGAAAATATAGCTATCACAGCCACTTTAAAAAGCCATGTGGTTACTAGGGATCTGACTCAATCTAACACACCTGCCCTTCACACCCATATACAAAAGTTTGGTTGTGACCTGTTCTGTGCTCACATGGGCTGTGGGACTGGATTGTGTGAAATTTGCCTCCCGCCACCCTCTGCAGTGCACGCCGTTTCACGAGGTGCCAGATTCACACCGCTGGGAACATCAATTCTTCCATTTATTCCTACTCCAGATAATGGACATGGGCAGCTGCAGGAGCATAAGCCTCCCCGGGATGCAGGGCTAATACACCGTGAGTTAGCGTGACCTGCAGGGACCACATCAATCACACGTCACCATTTCCATATGTTGAAGCTGTCGAGTGTAATGTGGATCTCTGCCCGCTAGGAAGCACACGGAATAAATCCATTTTGCACACTCCACTGAGCATCATCAGATGGCACCATTAGCATTGTCCTAGTGTGAATTTCAGCCAGTGGTGTCAAGGTGAAAAATGTTGTCACAGTCTTAACAGATCAGGGAGACGAGTTCGTCAAAGCTGCAGGACTCCAAACTGGGTAATGATCACCTTTCAGCCAAGACTGTGGAGTACCTTCCTGCCCCCTTCTCCACCTTTCCCAGGCTTGCCAGCTTCCTCCGTGAGCGTTGTTATGCCATTTAGTTCTCCCCTACTTGGGAATATCTGCTATGGGCTATGGGCAGAAAAGGAAGATGGGGAAAACGAAAGAAGATCTCTGATTAGGTGTCCACTGGGCCCTACAGCTCTGCTGCACGTTGGGCAGATGCAAATGCCCATGAAATGTGTTTATTCTGAATCCTGTGCATCAGTCACACCCATTTGCAAGCACATGCAATACATGTAGCAAAAACTCACCAAAGGAGCAGTACCTGTTCCTCTTACCCAGCTAAATGCTCTACTTTCATCCCTAACCATCATTTCTGCATCAGAACAGTGCACAGCTCTGCAACCAACAAAACTCACCTCATCTTGCCCCCAGCAGCCTCCTGTTACTTTGCAGAGTATCCAGAAGATGAAAACACTGACTGGATGAAGTAGTGAGAGCCAATTATGAGCAATGCACTTTCCACTGCCTGATGCTAAAATTAGCTCTTTTTAAAGTTTTGTTTCTGAAATAAATCTCTGCCAAATAAGCCATTGTCTGGGATACTGCTTCCCAGTTCCTAGCTAGCCGCAGGCAATATGCTCTTAGCAGAACACCTAGTCAAAGAAAAAGACATATTCTGTACACTGAGATGCAACCAGGAGAGCAGATCATCCTGTATTCGTGGAGCACCACTCTTGGAAATGAAAGGCAGGAGTTATTTTCACATTTTTGGCAGCACTTGTTCTGAGGTCAAGGTCAAAGCAGATATTCTAGTGTCCATATGGCTAATATTTCATGCCAAGACAAGTTGCTGCCACAGAACGAATTCAAAAAGGAAAGGAGGATGATTTATTTTGGATTTGGTGTGTGGAGACAATGTTTCAGGAAACTTTAGGCCTGCTGTTCTGAGCACACAAGATAAAGTGCATTGGCAGATCTTATGAGATACTAGATTATAATGATTGTAATGACTGCTAAAATTTTTGGATGTTCTTTGTGTAACCACTTTCTCTCACACCTCACGCACAGAAAAAACATCTCTATTGGGTTAATGTTTTTCTTCAGGCTATTCCTTAAGGAATAAGGAAGGTGTCAGCTTTTCTGCATATTGTGCCCTGGGGTTAGAAACCCTGATCTTTTGCTAAAAATCTACCTAATATCCATCTCCACTTCTTGAAATACTGATAAATCAGAAGCTTGCTCCTATAAAGATTTATAATCTCTCTGGGGCAGCCTGCTGTGGTAGCAGGTCACCACACATCAGGCATGGGAAGCCAGATGCATTTAGAGAGTACCTTTAGGTGGCTTGTAAAGTATGAATAATTATTCAGAGGAAATACTACATCAGAAGTAATTTATCTGACAATAAACAATAACCCCTATGACATTTGGCTGTCTCAGGCTGTGGCAGTCAGGTTTTGCTCATCTGCTGGACTCCCTTTAAGAGCCTCTGCAAGCCACCGTGGCCCCATAAGCTACAGCTTCTTAGGACTTTTTTTTTACCGGTTGAATGAGCCACAGTAAGTCCTTCAGGGATAACCAGAGCTAATCTGTGCCCCTAACTACTGAAAAAAATATTCAGCTTAGTAGATCACTGTAAAAATAGCCAGTGCTGTATATTTAGGGAGAACCAGCTGATAATAAGGGACTTCACAGTGGGCTTTGCTGGCCCTTTTAAGTAGAATTAATTGGGTTTATAATTGATCAACAGCCATCTGGAAAGCAAAAGTAAAGCTGGAATCAGTATTTCCAGATGCTCTGCATCATCACCTAAGCATGCTCTGGCTGGATTTGCGGTGACCTGATTGCCCAGAGCTCCTGCTTACTTTTCTATCAATCACTTAAGGATATTCAATGTCTTACAAAGTGGGCCTCTTATTGAGGTCCCTGATATTAGACTGCCCTGTTTGGCAACTTCGGCTTAAGCCTAAGGAAACGATATTCTGAATTTCTTTACTAGGGTGCAGGAGGCATTTGTCACAGAAATAGATTTAACCAACCCCTTCAAATTTCCTCCCTTCCCAGCCTCTGTCTCTGCTTCACAAATGCACCCGCACAGAGAAAAGAGCCATGGTAGGTACAACGCCAATCGTCCCCCAGTGCCTCAGCTCACCCCTAATCGGACTACCACTGAAAGGAAACCTTCTGGTTGCTATCAAGTTGTCATGGCCAAAGTTCCGACATCCCAGGTGAGATGGTACATAGCAGATGCTCTTGGTCAGTTCAAAGTGCAGTCCTGCAGCTCTTTGCCAAAATCCTTCAGTTTTGGCAGCCTGAGACTCTTAGGACTGATCTTACTTAGAGTGCGAGCCCTTTGGGGTAAGGACTGGCAGTCCTTACTGTCTGCTGGCGTAATGGTAATACAGACTGATGTAAGCACATTAGAGCAAATAATAATAATAAATTACATTTTCAAAGGTCAGTTCACACCATTAAGTTTTTTTCATAAGGGGCCATTTCTAAGGTACAGGAGCTCATGCCCAGAAGGGGTCAAACTGGTTTGGCTTTTAAATACTGTGTGTCAAATTCCCACTTTTGGAGTCTAGTTTTATGACTACATTAAAACCATTCAACCCTAATGAGAAGGCTGATTGACCTGACGTCTCTGCGGTGTGAACTGTGTCATCCTGTGGTCTTGCATAGTGCAGCAAGGAGGGAATATTAAGTACAAAATGAATTAACTCAAGGATGAAGCACAGCAGAGTGACAGCAGAGCGTACACAGAGGGTGCTGATGTGCACTTAGCCGTAAAAACTCCTTCCTGACAACATGGTGCAATGGTTCAAATCTCAACAGGATCTCCCTGCAGTGCTTCTTCCCATCATACACTCAAGATGAGGAGTCCAGAAATGACGTGTAAAGCTGTGTACGTGAAGAAAATGAAGGAGTTCCTTTACAGCAACGTTTTAAAAGACTGCGGTCCATGTCCTCAGTGAGTGTCAGAAAAGTTGGGGGTTAGGAATATGTTGCTTTCCCAGACTATGAAATCCACAGGGTCCTACCATTTGGGGACTTCCTCGCGACCCTTCTATCTGCACGCAGGAGGCAGCACTGCCTCCCTCCAAACCAGACAAACAAAGCGATTCGGGCCCCAGCAGCTGACGTTCTTTGACTGCTTTATCTCAGGACCTCGGGAGCGCCCCACTAGCAGCCAGTGTCCTGCCATAGGACAACATTAAAAGGCTCCATTTAGGAGCTAATATCCCCTGGTGCGGCACGGGACCCTTCATGGGCACTTCGAGAACAGCCTTTTTGCATGACATGGCAGAGCAGGCATGCGGCTGTCGAGTCAGCTCACGCGTTGAGCCCCCCCAGGGCACCCCCTTTAAACAACACAAACTTACGTAACTTCTGATCTAAAGCCCGTGGAAAAGTTCCCAATGACTTTAGCGGGCTTTGGACCAAGCCCTAATTGCCAGAGACACAGTGGAAACTTTTGGGCTGCACATTCACATTTTCTACAGCAAATGAGTGCGCGCAACGAGCTCAGTCTGGCGTTTGACCCCTTCTGGCCTCTGCTACCTTGTACCATGCAGCAAGACAAACAGAGCTGCCCTGAGCGGTACATGGCAAACATTTTTGCTGTAGGAAGTCAGGAAGAGCTTTTTGTGCAGAGACCTACTGCTGGACTCATTATTTCAGGCTGCCGGGGGCAAAGGAAGCAACGGGAGCCGTCCTACAAAGGGCCCATTTTCTACAGAGCCAGGGCTTGGGTGCACATCACATGGGCAGCGTACGGGATGCTGGAGCCCCTCCGTGCTTCCAACAGCTTTGACTTACTAATAGTGAGAGAAAAAACCCTGTCCAAAGCAACGGCAACGTTATCGTTGTAACGAAAGCTTTCTTCATGATGCTATTAACTTCTCATGTGTCCCTCAGCAAACCTAATACCAT